CTAGACCTAACATTCTCTGTTCTAAGGCTCCTACCATCCCTGACATCCTATGTTCTAAGGTCCCTCCCAGCCCTGACATTTCCTGTTTTAAGGTCCCTCCCAGCCTTGACATTCTCTGTTCTAAGGCCCCTCCAGCTCTGACAGTCCAGGTTCTAAGGTCCCTCCCAGCCCTGACATTCCCTGTTCTAAAGGCCTTCTAAGCTCTGACCTTCTCTGAGCTACTGCATTGTAGAAATGCTCTGGTCCCTTTGATACCTTTAACAAATAAAAGCCTGCTTTTGTCTCTCTACAGTGGAGGTGTCTGCTGGCTGGCATGGTTCCCAACACTCCCAAGTGTAGCCAGAGCCATACAAACACGAAAGAACAGAAATAATGTTATTATGCAGTTTTCTGAGTCAGTCTGTGCCTTCAGGGATCCTTGTGTTCAGTGGAGTGGCCCCATCTCTATTTGAGTTGGACACCACTGGGCTACACCACCAGCTGCTATGTCCCGCTCTTTTCTCCTTCACTACTGTTCTTTTCAAAAAAGGTCAATTGCCAAGTCCTGGCCATTGGGCCTCCACAACTTGTCTCTTATCCTTCCCCTTCTCTCCTCTCACACGCCCACCCTTCTAGTGCAGGCCCTCATTGCCTCTCACTTACTCAGACAGCTAGCATTTACTAAGCCCCTACTGTGTGCTGGGCATTGTGCCAAGTCCTGGGGATATAAAGAGAGGCAACAGCCAGTCTCAAGTCCAGCGGGGGAGTCGACCTGCAAACAACTTTGTCCAGGCCAGCTCCTTATGGGTTCACCAGGAGGGAAGGCCCAAAGACTGCAGATGATGGACTGGGCCAGGCTTCCTGGAGAAGGTGGATCTGGAACTGAGATCTGAAGGGGGACAGGGAAGCCAGGATAATGTACCAGCCTCCTGATTGGCCCCCCTGCTTCCAGGCTCTTCCAGGATCCCCAACCCCACTCCCCAGCAGCTGTGGTGGCACCGTCTTTCTCTACAAACTCCTCTCAGTGCCATTTCAGGCCCTTCACTCTCTGGCCCCAGTGTTCCTTTCGAGGCCTATTGCAAATTTTGTTGTTTGTTATTGCTCAGTTGTTTCAGTTGCGTCTGACTCTCTGTGACCCCATTTTGGGTTTTCTTGGCAGAGATACTGGAATGGTTTGCCATTTCCTTCTGTAGCTCATTTTACAGATGAGGAAACTGAGGCAGACAGGGTGAAGTGTCTTGCCCAGGGCCACACAGCTAGGAAGTATCTGAGGCAGGATTTGAACTCATGAAGATGAGTCTTCCTGACTCCAGGCCCAGCACTCTCCACAAACTTCTCATTCCAGCCTAACTGGCCTACTTGTTAGTCTTCATATACAATATTTCACTTTCTCTTTCCATGACTTTGCTCAGGCTGTGCCCCGTGCCTGAAATGTTCCTCTTCCTCAACTTCCCCTCTTAGTATCCCTCAAAGTTTAGCTCACATGCCTCCCTACACAAGGCCTATTCTTATATTCCCAGATACTAGTGCCCTCCCTTGTATAATGGCTTCATACGTGTTTAGCATTTATTTTTCTGTGTATATGTTGCCCCTAAATGGATGGGGGCATTTTTGTCAGCCTGGCATGCAGTAGGTGCTCAATAAATGCTTGTTGAAGGACTCATCGTTATTTCATTGAAGCGCACAAAGCCCACAAGGGCCTCATTTATGCAGTGGGTGTCCTCCTAAGCGTTGTTTCTGCTCCCATTCTATTTCCAGAGAAAGCATATATCAATGTGACCTACAGACGGAACACTGTCTATGAGGTGACTTCTGGCCATGGCATGCAGAAGCTATCTGTAAGAGTGGATGCCTTTCCTAGGCCCAATGTCACCTGGTAAGTTGACCTTCCCTTGTTTTCCTTTCCTTCTTTTCTTTCCTCTCCTCTCCTCTTCTCTCCCTTTTCCTCTTCTCCTCTCCCTTTCCCTTCCCTCTCTTCTCTTTCCCTCCCCTCCCCTCCCCTCATTTCCCTCCCCTCGTCTTCTTTCAGAGTCCCTCTCTCCACCCAGATCCTCAGAAAGAATGGACAACTCCAAACTGGGACAGAGAAATCACTTTGTATTTATGTGACCCATATATTAGATGTTGTTATCTGTGTTCATGTCATCCCTTCCCTGATAGCATAGTAATAAGATAGCTTAGGTGAACCATTTCACTCCTCTTAGCCTCGGTTTCCTTATATGTCAATAGGATAATAGTAAGCTCCTTGAGAGGAAGGCCTGCTTCATTTGTGTCTTTGTACCCAGTGCCTAAGACAGTGCCTAACCCACGATAAGCTAATAAATCCTTGTTAAATAAATGCATTGGAGAAGGAAATGGCAAACCACTCTAGTATCTTTGCCAAGAAGACTCCAAATAGGGTCACGAAGGGTCAGACATGACTGAAAAATGACTGAACAACAACACGAAAATAAATACGTTGGCAGTTCCAGGGTCCCTTAGTGTTAACACCCGGAGGTGTTATGATTTCTCATCAATGGGAAAGCTTTTGAAACGATCTTCTTGCCCCTTTTTCTTGTGGCGAATTGTGAAGAGCTCAAAGACCCAAGTAGAAGGTGTAACTGGGCGTCTAAAGAGCCCCCTCGTAACTGATCATTCCACTGCCCCTCCTGACAGGTACAAGGACGGCCAGCTGATCCCAGAAAACCTTACCTACCATTCAGACCCGTTAAGGTACAGACTCACCATCACAGATGTGAAAGTGAAGCATTCTGGGAATTATACCATTGTCCTGAGCAACACCCAGCACAGCCTCCAAGAAAACCGAACCATCCAACTACTTGTCTATGGTAAGTTGCCGGGTTTGGGGGTCCTCTTCCTAACTTTACCTCTCTTTCGTCTCTGCTCCCTGTGATTGCGTCTGTAAGTCAAGGAAAGGGAGAAGCTGGCTAACTTGTTAGTCAAAATGGCCCCCATCGTTGCCCCACACCCTCATGGGAGCTCTCGGTCAGGAAGCTTTGGAGGAAGGCCCAGTCTGGAAGCAGCAGCTAGCTAGCCTCCTGCCTCTTATGCCAGGCTTCTGGATGAAGCTCCTCAGAGGGTGATTCATTCACATGTTCATGGCTCTAGAGTTCATCTAGTCGAATGCCCTTGTTTTATAGCTGTTTTACAGCCTAGGGAGTGAAATGATTTGCCCTGTTAGTGTTGAAGGAACCATTAATCTCCCAGTCATCCAGGCTCCCAATCTCACAATCATCCTTGACTCCTCACTCAACGTATCCGTTGTCTTATCTTGTCATTACTATCTCACCAATGTTTCTCCCACGTGGCCCCTGTCCATTCATACAGTCACTATTCACCTCTTGTCTGGACTATCACCTCCTGTCACCTTCAGGTTCAACCCCAAGCTGTGTGAGCTTAGGTAAACCACTTCACTCTCCTTAGCCTCAGTTTCCTCATCTGTCAAATGGAGATAATACAGTTATCCCCATCATGATTTTCCCCATCGTGGTTTCCATATATCGAGGGTTGGCATAAGAAATTAAATGGGAATTTTGGGGGAGTTTTGCAGAAACTGCAGATGATACGTGAAGGCCAGCAGACAACACAGAAAAAGTTTAGAAACTCAGAAATGCATAAACTATATCATAAAATATCAACATGTTTTATCTCTTAGTACCATAATTCAGACTTCTTCTCTGGTACGAAGGGAAGGCCAAAAAATTTTATGTGGATTTTCCAGATTGTGGGGGGTACTGTGTCCCTTACCCCACAATGTGGAGGGGACAATTGTCATACTTGTACTACCTACTTCATTGAGGCATTGAAAGGAAGGTGTTTTGTGGACTATGAAGTTCTTTGGGACCTGCTTTGACACTTGGCCCTCATGGCACATAGCCCATGATGCTCTGGAGTGCAGCCCAAACCAGATTAAAACAGAAATGAGAAATATTTAATAGCAAAAATAAAAATAAAATATGACATGGGTAGGGAACCTGCAGCCTCGAGGCCACAGGTGGCCTTCTAGGTCCTTGGGTGTGGCCTTTTGACTGAGCCCAAGTTGTACAGAACAAGTCCTTTTATTAAGGGGATTTGTTCTATGAAGTTTGGATTCAACCAAAGGGCTGCACTTGAGGACCTAGAGGGGATTTGTTCTGTGAGGTTTGGATTCTGTCAGAGGGCTGCACCTGAGGACCTAGAGGGCCACATGTGGCCTTGAGGCTGCAGGTTCTCCACCCCTGCATAGAACATAGGTCATTTTGAAAAAATGGATATAATTTTCTAAGGCCCACTGTTTCTAGTTGAGTGGGACAGCCCAGCTTTGGGTAGTTCTGTGAGGTTCTGTGTTGCTGAGAAGGTGTTAACCTGCATCAGTGGAGAGTTTCCTCCCCATGGAATTCTCTGTCTATGCCAATGGAATCACAAGTTCAGGCCCTATCTCTGTTATTGTTGCTGTGATTATTATTGAATCCCAGCTTGTCACACAGGGTCACCCAGCTAGTCAGCAGCACTTTCTAAGTCTTCCTTTCCATCATCAGGAAAATCTCAAATTCTTATCTCCATTTTGCCAATGAGGAAACTTCCTCCCAGAGAAGGGGAGTGACCTGCCCGGGGCCATGTGACTACCATGGAGAAGAGCCAGGTTGCCTAAGCAACTTGAATTCATCAACTTACCCCTAGAATGCAAATGAGGAAACAGGCTTGTTGTGGGGCGGGAAAGATGCCTGCTGTGTGGCCCAGAGTGTTATGCCAAAGCAGTCACCCAGAGCATCCAGGTGGCAACCTAGCTCTTCTCTACCTCCTGAGTTTGTGGCAGGAATGGTGCCCCCTCAGCTGACCTAGTGTTGGGGTGTCCTCTGGAGGACCCTGATGTTTGGGAGACCTGGTTACTGGAATGATTCTAGGTCATGAGGAGAGGGAAGCCTAAATCCAGATTCTCCTTGGAATGGAGCCAGGCTGATTAGAACCTAAGAAAGATAGAGCTGTGAGACCCTAGGCAAGTCCCTTTACATCTCTTGAGCCTCTTGGGTAACAGAGAAATAATAATACTGACATTTATATAGCACTTACTATGTGCCAAGGCATTGTGCTAAGTTACAAATATTTATGTCGTTTGATCCTCACAACAACCCTGAGAGGTAGGTGGTATTATTATCCCCATTTTACAGATGATGAATTTGAGCCAGACAGAGGTGAAGTGACTTGCCCAGGGTCACACAGCTAGGAAGTGTCTGAGGCTGGATTTGAACTCAGGTCTTCCTGACTCCAGGTATCCACTGCAGCGCCACCTAGCTGCCTCAATATTTGTACTACCTTCTTTGCAAGGACATTATAAGGTAAGAGAGCTAGGCACTCTTTCAATCCAGGAGCCCCAAATTTAAGGAGTTCCCTTTGTCCAGGTCCCTAGGAGGGGCCTCTTTCCCAAAAAGGGCTGTATCTTTCCACCCCAGAAAGTTGACTAGGGGACTCATTGAATTGAGCAGGGCTCCCTTCCTCAACTTTGTTTCATTTTTTTTTTTTTTGCAAGACATTGGGGTTAAGTGACTTGCCCAGGGTCACAGATCTGGTTAAGTAGTAGAACCAGGATTTGAATCCAGATCTCCTGGCCTTGTGGTATGGTGGAATGAGAGCAAGATTTGAAGCCAAGGGACCCGGGTTTAATTTGCACCTTGCCTACTTATTTCCTGTGTGATCTTGAACATGTTCCTTCCCCTTTCTGGGCTTCAGTTTCCCCAACTGTTAAATGATGAAGATATAGTGAAAAACAAGTCTCTTCTAGCTCTGAATCTATGGCCCACTCACCCCCAAGACCCCAGATCCAATGTTCTTCCCTTTAAACCCGACTTCCTTTCATCCTGATGCCTCAGTTTCCACATCTGTAGAATGGCAATAATGATGCTACTAATAATTCTAGGCCCATAATAAATGTGATTGTTGGGATAGAATCCTCCTGGGTTAATAATAGCAGCAGTCTATGGTAGGATGAGCTTGACTGGGTGATATTAATAGCAAGTATCTTGGCTGTCTATAGAAATAGCTCACGAGGCAGCCCCCCCATCAGCATCATGTAACTCTTCTCCTAATCCTCCCCACCCCCATCAAAGTTAAAAAGATGGGGGGAAAAGCCATTCCCAGAATATTTCAGAGGAGGGGAAAAATACCACCCCCTCTCCTCCTGGAAGTGTCTCCCCAGCCAAAATGTGGACGAGAAATTGTTTTCCATCATCTAGGCCAGAGCACCATGCCAATGCACACTTGTCTTCCTGGGGGAGCCAAAGTGGAATCATCAAACCCAGCCCCTGTTTCGCTGCCCCTCCCTGCCCTGTCCTGTCCCATCTCCAGTGAGTTGTTTTGGATGACTCGCCATTGGAGAAGAGGTCTTCACCCTGACAATCTATTCCTCCTCAAGCTCTCTATCACTTGCACTTAATTAGGGCCAGCATTTGCTCTGGGTCATGGGGAGGTTTAGGGGTTTGGGGGTGGGGTGGGGATTGGGAGGCCCAGCTTCCTAGGCCATTCGGGTAGGGCCCATCCCTCTGCCAGAATGAGGAGGTACAGACCCCCTACGCCGGTGCCACATGGGGGCCAGCTGGGGGGTGGGGCCAGGCAAGCAGCTTTGGCCTATGACAATGCCGTGGGCTCCGTGTGCCACCAAAGCTGAGGCGCTGACCTTCCAGGAAGACCTCAGGGGTCTCGGGAGAGCCCCGCATAATGAGAAAATCATGGCAGCTATTTCCATCACCTTGGAAGGAAGCAGAGAAGACGAGGGGTCAGGGGGAGTGAGGGGTGTGTGTGGGGGGGAGGGATAGTGCCAAAAATCTTAACTATGCATCTTGGGTTCTTCCTGTTACTCCTTTTCTCTGGATTGGTTCCCCTCCCCTTCCCCCCCCAGCACCTCCACCACCAATGACTTTGGAGAGAAAAAGCCAGCAGCAGTCTGCTTACTCTCCCTGAATCCCAGAATTGGAGGGTTGGGAGGAGGCACAGTGGCATTCTAGGCCTCCCATGCCCAGAAAGGGATCCCCACTATAACAGAGCTGACAAGTAGGCAGCCAGCTCCTAAGCAGGAGGAGCCCACCACCTGTCAGGACAGCCCCCTGCACTCCTTGCCCTGACCTCTAGCCCAAGCCCACCTCTTTGTATCTTCCCTCCCACCACTCCTGCTTCAGCCTTCTGGGGCCAAGTAAAAAAAAGTCTTATCCTTCCTCCATGTGACGGCCCTTCAAATACTTGAACACATAACTCATGTTCCCTGAGTCTTCTCTGCTCCAGGCTCAACATACCCAGTTCCTTCAAGTGATCCTCAGATAACCAGGACCCAGGCCTTTCCCCATCCCAACTCCTCTGCTCTGGACACTGCAGCTTAGCTATGTCCTTCTTAAACCCTAGTGCCCTGGAACATGATTATCCGGATCGGTCTGACTGGGGCAGACTACAGCAGGATCATTACCTCCCTGTGTCTGGAAGCAATGCCCCTCTTAAATGCAGTCCAAGGGCAAATTCACTTTCTGAATTGAGGGAGGTGGGGAGAGGGAGAAGGCAGCTAGGTGGTGCGGTGGATAGAGAACTGAATTCAGATCTGTTCTCAGACACTTACTAGCTGTGTGAGGCAAGTCACTTTACCTCTGTCTGCCTCGATTTCGCCATCTGTAAAAAGAGGATAAATAATAGCACCTCACTCCCAGGGTTGTTGTGAGGACCAAATGAGATAATTCTAAAGTGCCTGACACATAGTAATCACCATATAAATATTATTTTTCTTATCAGGCTGTCATATCACCCTGCTGACTCACTGAAACCCCCAGATCCTTTTCAGAACAACTGTGGTCTGACCAAACCTTACCTATTT